TTCCTAATCTGGATAATTCGCAGGCTCGTTTACAATGCAAATGTCGATTTCACGCCCCAATTAATATTTCATACCTTTTCTGGGGGAGTGTGGGTGGCGGCAGCTCGTCGCTGGGATCAATCAGTGGCTCCGGCAATATCGGCACCGATTTAATATTTTAAGAGACGAGGGCGTCATCATCGCGATCCTCGTTTACGGCTCATATACCATCGTAAATTTTTAACGGCTTCCGCGGCCTTTTCCAAAACTTCTACCACCTCTCTTCTATCTCTTCCGATACAACGAACTTTTGCATTATTCACTAAAAGCGCAATTTCGCATTACGCCGATGAATTTTTATACCAAAAACTTACGATTCACATCAAATATAAATTAATACCCTTTTTTATTAAGAAGGTATAACCCCAAACGAAGAAATTGCAATGAAATTATACATACAGGTATTGTATTTTCTAACATTTCGTGACAAGAGGTTATAAAAATTTAACCATGTTTACTGGGTCATAACAATTATATACTTCACCACTCAAAATATACTCGAACATTACACAAACTCTAGCAAAAAAATATGGTAACGTTTGTTTAGCACGTTATGAGAAACAATAGAATAGTTTCAATCCATCAAAAATTATTGAATAAATAAAACAGTGAACGTAAACAAATTTTACTAATTAATCTCGTAAATCTGCGAGGTATGTATGGCTATATAGGGTCATATGCGTGACGTTACACGAAACGGGACGCGGCGGCCGCAATAAATACCTGAATAATAAGGTCAAAACCGGGAAATTTGGTGCCGAATTTGTATATTCGAGCGCATATAATCGCTGCCTAATTATTAATTAAAATGCGGCCCAGTAATTTTACGCTGCGACGCGTTCGACTGCTGCCCATAAATTAAACGTCAATTATTGAACTGGTCGAACATAACAAGAGAGAGGTGCTATTATTTGTAATGTATAAATAAATAGGTGGTGTAATTTTAATAAAAAAAGATGTATGGTATCACCATCAACATCCAAATCTACATTTTACTTCTATTTATTAGTACATAGAACACAGAAAAGAAACAAAAAGCAACCCAACCCAACCCATAAACCAGAATATTGCAGAAATAATAATGATCCCAAAGGTAGATAAAACGTAGACAGTGTTAGAGTGGTACATAATGCTTCACAATTGTTAGTTCTAGTTCTGGTAGCAACTACTTTTCTATTATCAGTATTTAAACTTCTGCCAGCAGTGTTTAGTCAAATTAACTTTATTTATGAACATGTGGGCAAACAATTCACAAGAATGGCAGCAATCCAGGAATTGTTGTTGCAGTTGGCAAATAACTAAACTTTTAGCAAGGCATGATTTCAGGAAATATGAAATGTGCGAATATCGTCTAGAAACCTCCAAGGAATGCTTTTCTTCTTTCTCATATTCTGCAATAGAAGATTGGAGCGGACAAATCAAGTTTCAAAGAATATACGAGGGTATGAAAGCTGGAGCTTCACTTCCCAGCATAGGCTATGGATAATTAAGAAACAAAATAGATGTCCTAAAGTAAGAAGAAGAAGTGGATGCCGAATTCAAGTCAACAGACATTTTATAATATAGATTGGACAAATATACAATATTCAAACAAACGCAATTCCAGAAATTTAACTAACTAGTATTTAAAGAGGTTAAAAAGTGTAATGCTTAAATATACATTGGTTTTCAATTCTCAATATTTTAATTCAATATTTGAAACCTTTATAATCTTGATTATAGATGATTACTAAAAATGTGTTTAACTTTTTGTGATAATCCCAAAATCACTGTGTATTGTTGGGGTCAAAAAAACACAAAGTAAATGATAAATTGTGAATTTTCTTTTACTCTACTTAGCGTGTCGCGTCTGGGGAATATAAATAGTGGGTCGACCTTTGTCTTCGAAGGGCGCGCACCGCTATCAGAGCAACTCATTTCAACGCCGACCAGGCAAAATGGCATTCTCTACCGAGTTACGATTGCTAAAGTCTCTTTACAAATGGTGCCATTAGACCGGGGCGTAAATGTGAATTACGTAGTTTCTTGCTTCTTAGTTTCTACTCTAGTCCTGTTATAACACTCAAACCTTCGTCTTACGTAATACGTTCTGAAGTAAAGAATTAATTTTTTTTTAATGTAAATTGAACGGAATTAAATCGTTAAGCATGCACGGGATCGAATTCTACGAAATTTATATTTCCAAATTAGCTAATCATGTGGTCCAGTGCGACCGGAAGAGCTTCTGGTGAGAGCGAGCAATCTCGGCGTAGTTCCTGTTCGGACCGGAACCCAAACCCTCGTCAAGCACGCTGATGTCATTATCCGAAGTACCATTCGGTGGAACCGCCTCGTTTGGCCGGCTTTCCTCTCCAGAATTATAACCCGCGGAGCTGATAATTTTTTTAATTACTTTCGCAGTTAGCCGCTCCCCCGGTCAGAAAGGGGAATATCCGCCCCTGATTTAATTACAACCCCGACTGCGTATTCGATTTTATCAGTTACTGCTACGTGCGTTGTCCTTCCGGACAAAGGGGATCTTAACTGGGGGGACAATCGACGACCGCTCGAAAGTTTTCAGTCCGACACAAATGTTTAATTATAAAAGTTACGGTCGAACTAGACTCCGCTGCACTCAAGTAGGTCAAAGGGTAATTGGCCCTTTGTGCGGCCGGAACATATCCTAATTGACGCTTTTCAAAGAGGATACGATACGAAAAATTATCTTTTCTCTCGCTTTGGGGATTGAACGTCTCACCTAGGCGAACGATTTTACCTCGAAATTCAACGTTTAAGGTGATGAAATGTAGGTAACCGGGAAAAGGAAAGAATATATTATCCTAAAATAACCTCTTTATTTAAATTAGGTTTGAAAAAGAATTGAAAAAAATAAAATTTCGCTTAAATTCAGATTAATTTCTAGCATTGCTTGAAATATGATACCATCAAAAGATCATAGCAAAAGTTTTAAGTCTCTCCAATAAAATCCAGCATTCTTTGAATTTTAACTTGCAACGTTTTCTTCCTAAAGTCGCAGCCTTTGTTTTCCAGGACTTCGAGCTTATAAACTTCCCCTCAGTGCGCCATTGTCGTCAACTTTTACGACGACGGTGGTAGGATATTTATTTGGGAGCCAACATAAAGAAATTCCCGATATTAAGATTATGGCCAGGGTCTCGTACCCACAGCCACTTTGTGCTCTTTGCGGTCGCGCCCTCTTTTTTATCAGCACCTCGTCGTAGTCGTCCTCTGGGAAGTTTTCGCGAAATTATTCTGATTTAGCTTATCTCGGTCGACAGCCGTTTCTCGGTGTTTACACTGCGCACCGCAACTAATTTAAACTTAAATTCAAGTTTTACGATATTTGTGTAATGTTTTGAGACACCTCGTACGAAACAGGAAACTTCTCTTTTAATGCATAGATATGGGAATTATTAAATGTTACATGCAATACTGAATTATTAAATTTCAGTGACGTTTTGAAATGCTTTTTTTTATTGTTTCGTGATTTTGAACCATTCAATATTTTAATAGGAGAATTTTACATGTTATATTTAATTACAATTGACAGTTTGTGGGAACAAAAATGTTAAAATAGCATTGTTAAAACTGTCATAACGGGGTATTTAATAAATTATTCTAGCAAAATCAAATTGTTTTATATACCCAGAAATACCATTTCTGGTTCTACGTCTCGTGTTAGTTCCACTTTTCGTTTAATAAAAATATACCACAATCTAAGGCTGAATAACCATTAAATTTAGAACTAACACTAGACCGTCTGAAGACGCACGGCTAAACCCGATACTTTCTAGTTCCAGGTCTCGTGTTAGTTCTAGTTTTAGTTCAATAAAAATATGATAAAAGTGATATTTTATGCTAACTAGCGCTACCTACCAGCCATCTCAAGACATGTACGGCTGTTTCTAGAAACGGAATGTTTCTAGTTTTAGGTCTAATGTTAGTTCTAGTCTAGTTTTATTTGTTATTCAGCCCTAGATTGTTGTATAATTTTATTAAGCTATAATATATCGAGGTTTTACTGTAATGTCAAATTATATTCACATATTATTGCATTTTATGTGGGACAAGGTAAGTAGGTATGCCCTGGCTTCTATGGAAATTAAATGAAATTCCGTGTATATCAAGGATTTTGAAAGAATTTAAAGGAATTCAGAAATAAATCGATAATTCAGTAAATTACATTTTAAAGGTGCAATTCGTAAAATCGTCGGAATACAGCTGGATGGTTGAAAATTCCCATGGGTTCCCCCGCCGAAGAGGTAACTTTTATTTCGACGTGATGTTTATTTTATTAGAAAACTATATTGGAACAGATTGAGGTATGTCCTATGGGACCTGAAGGTGAGTTAGGACTCGAGCAAACCCCTCTGGCCGGGGAACAAGTTATATCTTGACCGATACACCTCGACGTGAGCCCAAACTCAGCGTAAATATCTTCGCATTAAGGGATTTACACGTGTAACTCACCGGAGGATCATTACTCGACCTTTTTCTCTTTACGCCAAAACGGCAAAGAATTTTTAACGAGAACAGGAACGTTATGGTGGTAATCTTCTCTCAAGGGTGATGACGTAAGATCAAACCCGTAAATTTTCCCGCAGCAACTTAAGGGAGATTTGGAAAAGTTTGCAAAATTTAAGGATAGGTTTGTCGAGACTCGCACAGTCTTGCAGAGGATTATTTTAATGCAAAACGTGCATTAAACTTCCGTCCAAATCCTCAGGATCTGACGCCCATTCGCGAATATGCAACAGTTTTCGCTAACCGCGCGTTTGCTCGCATTTGCTACCACCACATTTCCCCACGACTCTCCGCAATTAAGCTTTAATTACACCCTATCGTTAGTAGTCTGTTTGATTTGTCTCACCCTTTTCTAAATTTCCCACCTGAATCCTTGATTACCCAAACATTTCTTTTTTAACATAAAAATAATACATATTTTATTTTTATTTCTAATTTTATGAAATCATAAATACAAACATAACTATAATAATCATCCCTTCAAAAGAGATATAACAGACAAAACTAGAACTTCTAGGATATAATTCAAGAAATCGTTGACAATGCACTCGAAGTTTTTCGTTGTAAAACTTTTCGTTTTCTGTAATTGTATTAATGGCTTTTACAACGTCCTCGTAATATTCGTCGTCATCAATTCTACTTAACAACAATGCGTGATTTCTATTAGCGTTATTTAAAGCTATATTTTCCAGTAATTTACCAACGCTTTTTCCAAACCTATTTAAAAATAAAAATAAATTATAAACGTTAATTCAACGTTAATCGAAAATCTTACGTTGCTTTAATAATATTGAAATTCTCAACGATGAATTTTACCACTACGTTTAAACCAATATTACTAGATGATAAAACAGTATAAAAAACGTCCTCTTTATGATGTGAAATGTATTCATTTTCTTCGTTTATTGTTTGTGTTAATAATTCCCATAAGAAATTTCCTCTCAATGAGCAAGCTAATCCTTCGAGAGCTCTCTCTTTTTGTTGTTTATCAATATTTTCGTTATCTAATATGCTATATAATTTTTCTATTTTAAAACTTAATCTAATCGGTTTTCTCATAGCACCACAATAAATTTGTCTTTGTTGATAAGGTGGAATATTAGTTATATTGGTATTCATAAATAGGTTATGAGCATCGGTGATGCATTCTCTGCCCATAACTCGACCTAACCAATAAATTACATTGTCGAAAGTAAATTGTACGGTGTGAGCTTTAAGATTTAATTCTTTCAATCTACGATAAGGCTTCTTTAAAACTGCTTTAATATAACTCCCAAAGTTGTTATAATTCTCGCAATTACCCATTAATTTATCAATAGGCCCAATAACATTAAAAAACGATGTAAAAGGAATCGATTTTGTTTCATTTTGTAAATACAACGCGAGTCTAAACGGAATTGTATAATTGAGCCTTCCAGATCTGGCTAAATTGAAAGAATCATCGATAAACTGGGCTCTATTCAAAACGTCAATTCTCTCAACATCTTCTTTTAACGATTTAAATAATCCGATTATATCGTTCCAGTTTTTCTCGTCATAATTCACTCTATAAAAACCCGTTGATTGTTTATTCAAAATTATCGATTGCGATAAATTTACGTTAACGTTGTTGAAAACCAATTTTTCAATACGAGATGTTAACCAAAACTGGGGTTTCGTTTCAGTAAAACTTAATTTATCAAAAGTGGCGAAATTTATTGGAATTGGCCACAATGTTTCATCTTTTGATATTGGAATATTTGATAAAAATCGATCCTAAAAAAATTTATGTAATGTAAGTTAATTATTTAAACATTAAAATAATTAAAATAAAACTTAATAATTATTACTTGCGATAGAATAACATTATTATCTTCGTCTCTCTCTACAGTTACCACTGGATAACCAACATTAAAAAACCATCGATTCATAACAGTTTGAAGTAAAACCTTATTTTCATCAAAACCAAGAGATCTTTTTTTATAATTCGATAACTTATTCACACAATTCTCGATAGAGCTCAAAAAATTGTGATAAGTTGCTCCCCAATAATAACTATTTAAAAGATTTTGAAACAATTATAACTTTTTATTTGATTTATTTGATTATTCTTACTTATTTTTCATGTGCATGTGAAGGGCGCAATTAAACACATCGTTGGTAATAAAATTACTGATCATTCTCATTAACGCAGCTCCTATATTGATAATTTGTTTCGTACCAATTTATTATAAATTAATTACCATGAATTACCTTTATAGTGTGTTAAAGAGTGAGATAGCTTTTCGATTTCGTTGAAACTTCCAATGGGAGAGCTTAAAGATTTTGTGTTTATATCAGAATCCAATTCCAATCCTTTTTGATGTACTCTATTTACAAATTGGTTCATTAAATACATATCGGGATCAACTTCATTTGCAAAATAATATTCCAAAAATGTATCAATGGCTTTATTTAACCATATATTATCCCACCAATTTGCAATAACGCTATGTCCGAACCATTGATTAACGAGTTCGTGTGTAATCGCTAATAATGTTGATTGTTTTTGAAGGGGACTGTTTAATTGATCATTATAAAACATTAATTCTTCGCTAAATTAGAAAATAAAATTTAATCTAAATTTAAATAAATTTAAATTTTTGTGTACTTAAGAAAAACCAAACCAAAATTATCCACAATTCCAGGTTGAAAAAATTTATCTGGAAGCGCTACATAATCAATTTTTTCCATATTAATTTTAGGAAAAAGTTTAAAAATGTTTTTCGATATACCAAGGCTATTAACAAGGGCGTAATCGCATGATTGATTAAAAAATTTTGGATTCGCGTAAATTTTAAAATCTTTTTTCTTACAACAAATTTTTAATTGGGAGATAACAAAACCGATCAAGTGAGGTGGTAAACGTGATGGTGTTGGTTTAAAAGTATCTTGATATAAATCACCCCTAAAACATAATTAAAAATAATAAAAATCAAGAAAAATAAATAAATAAACGTTTTACCCAATTTTTTTGGACGATTCTAAAGGTGTATTTGAAATCGATGAATAAGTCGACGATCTTATGATATTGATAGTAAAAAGTGCCTTCATATCCGGTTGATCGATACAGGGGAAAACACTTCTTGCATAAATCGGTTGAAATTGCGTCAATCCAAGTATTCTTTCAGTTCCATACTCATCGATATATTTAGATTTGTAAAATCCTTGATTTTCCCCAAATCCCCCTAAATAATCGATGGTGATATCAATTAAATCATTTTCTTGTAATTTTTTTGTTAAAGTGATCTTGTATAAATCACTCGATGGAGTGTAATCAACCCTTTTTATCGTTAACGATTTTATTTCCGGTTTGGTTAATACCACGGTGATATTTTCTTTGGTAAAGTTGAGATTGCTTTGATGTAGAGAAATAATTCGAGTCCTCGCGCGAATTTTCATTTGGATTGTGATTTTTCCTGAAAATCTATTTGTTTCAAAGTCGGGTTTAAACGTTAAATCGTACTTAATTGGTTCTATATCTTTTGTTATTTTTAGTTCGTAATTTATGAAATTTCTTAATTCATCATCACCATCGTCTAAAATTATTAAAGATACTTTTGTGATGGTGAAATGTAAGAGGAGAAGAATGATTTGATGTAGCATGTTTTGAGTGACAAATTTAATGCGTCATTAAATTATTTATGAATGGGGTTAGGTTTAAATCAAATAAATGTGCTTGTATTAATATCAGTTATGATAAAATGGAACAAACTGGGATGCTGGGATATTAACTCAACCGCGATAAATCTTTTTCGTTGGTGCACTTCATCTTAATCCGAGACGAATGAGTGCGCGTCACATTAGAATGTAAGGTCAAGCGGAACAACAATAAAACCTTTTCCGCGGCTCTTCGCTCGTTGGTCTGACAAATGGGGGTTTGCTCAGCGTGCACACCCTCTTTCGTTTCCAACAAACTCCCATTGACCGTGACGTATGAATATGGGTGTTGCCGGAGACGGTAAGGTCATTTTTATCAAACCCACAAGATATTGTCACTTATCCATTTAGATTTTTGCAATTAACGGTTCCTTTTGAAACTGATTCGTTCAAGTTTTCGAAAATTGTATCGTTGTAATCTATGGAGCTTATGATGTTGCAGGAGAACCCGGTGACGTTAAATCCGAAAGTTCGGTTCGAGTCTATTAAACTTTCCCGAACTTTAAGGCAGGGCAAATATAAATCTAATTTCCACCGGAGACATTGGCGCGAAACGAAACCAAAAAAAAAAAACTGGTGTGTTTACATCGAAACCCGAATGCGACATCGTGTTGAATTGTTAAAATGGGGTGGACACTTCCGGTAGTATATATCGCTTCCACATAACTCCGGAAGTCCCAGATCGCGACCGGTGATCGATCGACAAAGTCGTTTTTAAGAGATATTGAACCCATCGGTCATGTTTGAAACATAAAGGGGGTCTTCCTATCTCGGATATTTATTGCCGCCTCCTTCGATACGTTATAGATCAAGTACTGCTCCTAACAGAATTGTATTTAAACGATATAAATAAATTAATTAATTACAGTGAAGAAAGACAGCAAATGGTGCCCGTAATTTTTAGCCGATTACGTTCAGTTGTGGATCAAAGGGGAGACCGATTCGTTCACATCAGCTTCGTAAAGATTGCTTTCTATTCGAATGTAAATAATTACATAATCCGCTTTCCGTGTCAAAGGGAGCGCGAAGGGCGCTGTCAAGTTTAATACCAGAACCCGGAGCCAGAAATTGGAGATTGGGGTCCTGTTGATTTTGCCACTCGATCGATTTCTTACTCTATCTTTCCCTTTTTTGACTTGTTTACAAATCGCGCGTCCATTTATCCAAGCTTATTTCGCACAACTTGCGTTAGATATGAATTTTTTCGATTTAAAAAAATCCCAAATGGATTTATTAATATTAACTTGAAAGAGATTCTCCATAAAATTCTTTTCGAAACCGTGGTGTTTTCGAAGGAACGCTCGCTATAATGGAATGTCAATACCGAGAGGTAAAAAAAATGAAATAAATGACCTCTGAGACCGCCATTGGTATTCAATCCCAACGTTCTCCTCGCAGCTAAGCGTCACCTTGGGGAGGAAACAAAACTCTAAACAACCAAGCTTTTTTTAAATAGATTTTTGCATACTTCCAACAGGACATTGTAACATTTAAACAATTTTTAACTTTATTTGAAATTAATTAAATTTTTGTTTAAACTTTGAGTAATAAAATACAATAGCACCATCAAATCAATCGATCACATGTTATATTCTCATTTATTTTCATTCGAAAACGTCGGATTTGGACTGTTTTTACTGTTTGTTTTTTCATAAAATTGGCTCGATCATTTATCACACACGGTTTAATCGCGCAATTAATTTCCAAAGCACATCAAAGAGCGAGTTATTTTCGTTGCAAAATCAATAAATATCTCAACTAACATCGTTAAGTTTTAGTTGTATTGTGTATATTTAAATCTGATTAGGTGAGGATTGATTTTCAATTTCAACAAGGATCTTATTTTCCCGTAAAAAAAATTTACAGCGACGGAATTGCTTTTGATTGGGACGCGGGGGCGAATTAAGAGGTTCCTTCCGCTTCCGGCGCAACGTCGGGATCTATTAAAAGTTATAACTTTGTTTCGATAATGGCCGGGCCGACGGAGAAAAGAACAGATGGCCTCCATCGTCTTTTCGGTTTTCAATCTCATTCTACGCGAAGTTTGACGTCCGTCCGTTTTCTTACTTTCTTCGAGATGTAGATATCGATTCAATCTCCTTTTAGATTAAATTTACCTTTTTTTTCAAGGAAGACACATAATAATAAAATAATAAATTCTTTACATTACAAAAAAATTGAGTGAAATATTAAAAAAATTTGCTTTATAAATTGCTTTCAAAGTTATTACCTGGGTTAAAATAATGCAGAGCCACGTCCCGGCCTAATTCGGAGGATGAAAGGGACAAAAGGGCGCTCAACGCCGGAAACGGAGGCAGAGCAAATGAATACAGATTCGGTTAGAATTATAAGGGGGCAGCAGCTCGCTGCAGTGCGCAATAAATCGCCTAATTATAAATTGCCTCGACGCAACCGTGACCACAGACTATAAATTACGTCCAGGACCGAGATCTTAGGAAAATTTTAATTAAAATATCAAATTCAATTTCATGCCTAAGTCTCAAACAAAACAGATGCCGGACCGAATATTTTGACTGAATATGAACTTTGTGTTTTATAGTTATTACAATTTCAATCTCAAAATGATATATTAGCTTTTGAATTAACTTGTGGATAAAAAATGATTGCAAAAGGATTAAAAACGAAGCTTCTAGATCTGCGTATAATTTAATAGAATATAAAGTCTCTGTTTCCTTAGATTTACTAAAAATAATCCTCCTAAATTCCAAGTTGCAGCAAGGAGAGGATAATCTAAGAAGTGGTGAGTTAGCAAAGATTCACGATTAGTATCTTAATATAATAGATGTCCATTAAAATCAAAATAATTAAGTTTAGAAACTGTTCTCCATTGGGCGTATGAAAGAGAATCTTATTATATGTTTATAATTAATCCAAATCGAACCTTTTACTCTTAAACTCGCAAAATCGAACCCCTCAACCAAGTTATGATAATTTAACCCAACTAACTCAAATCAACACATCTTCACTAAAACTAAACTCAAATCATCTAATTTTAACGTAGCTCACCCAGAACCAAGCTCGCCAGAACATAAATAAAATCAATTTGATTCAAACTTTGCTGATCTACACTCAAATCAATCACAATCCAAACTACCCAGAACTAACCGAACCCAACCCAAATAAATCAAGCTTAAGTCAAGTCTATTTAAGCCATATCCAAGTAAAAAAAAGTAAGTCAATCGTATCAAAACATAATTTTGATTTACACCTAAATCAAATCCAACCTTACACGTCCAAACCAGATGCAACCTAAAACTAAACCCAACCCAACCCAACCCAACCCAACCTAACCGAACTGAACCGACTTTAATCAAATTAATCGTACTCAAATAGCATAAAGAGATACGGAGCTTGCCATTGTTGCTAGCACTCTTCTCTTCCTGTGCGAAGGTCCACCAATTCTGAACATCATAGGATTGTGGGACTACTTAAAACTAACTGCCCACAGAAACTGAACCTACTCTTTTCCTCATATTAGCGCACACCGCTGTCACTGCGATAAGACTGTTATATAAATTTAGGTTTTTCCTGAACTTATATTACTAACCTCTCTCTGTTTTGTTCTGCCTGTCAGAATACATGTATCACGGTATTTTTGCTTATGACATCTCCTATGAGGAGTTCTACTAATTTCCGAGCATCCGACACCCCTCAGTCAAACCAGCACAGTCATGATTACATTCGTATCAAATTCCTCACCATATTTTAATCAAAAAGAACAACTTAGTAATTATGGAATAATTATATTTAAAGCGATTATAGCTTAAAATTAAATCACTTTATAACAAATTATGATTTAGAAATTGCGTTGACGATACCAGTTAAATAGAGGTCGATGAAGTCAACTAAGACCGCATATTGACCGAGGGTGTACAAGGGAGTCGATAAAGTAACCTTCACTGTTTGCCCAGTTTACCTGTAATTAATTGGATATCCGTAAGCTGTATCCCTAAACCGCAAACATAACATACTACCAGGCTGATAAAACACCCAATTTCGATAGGGTAAACACGAGCCTGTTTAATACAAGAGTATTAAATCGCTTTTCTAAACTAAGTTATTTAACGTTTTCCGCACACTTATAAATTGAGAAGAAATTCGTTTATTAAGCATATGTGTTGTAATAAATATAAAAAAATATTACATACATAATTAACCATTAAATCCCTTTGTTGTATCGTAAAAACTATGGGCTTTTTCGTTGCGAATGAATAATAAATGGAAAAATGGGGGTGTACTGAAAGCTTTTATAAAATAATCTTGCTATTTATAAAGCTTAAAATAATGTAATATTTAAAAGAGTATGTAAGATGAATTATTTTTTGGGAACTAGAGTTCGTCACGCGATAAACTGCATATTGAGAGCTCCAGTTTGCTTTGCAATTCGCTTATTAATTCTAGATGTGGTTTCGGTGGTCATCCAACGTAGCGCGAGGCTTTCATTCTGCACGTTCCGAGCTGAGGGAGAAATATGAACCGCAAAATTTGTGCTATCTCCCGGCGTTCGTCGCTTTTTCGGATTACACTAATGCCGGCCTCGTTGACCTGTGAAAAGATATTGTAATTTGCGGCTTGGCACGCTCCTAAAACGCCCCGGCAACAAGAAATAGCCCGCGGTAATGGAACTGCTGGAACGAAATTAATAAATTTCAATTAAAGTTTCGTGCAAGCGAACGAGCGAACGAGCGCAAGTGGCCCACTACAATTAAACGGGCAGTGTA